GAGTGGGCGTGTTGCCGCGCCCCCCGAGTGGCGCGGCGAACTCTGATTGGTCCGCTGTTTATTAATACGATTAAAGTTTTAAATCTCCCCYCGATTCATCCGAAATTCCCCAAATTCTCCAAAAATGTGTGTCCGAAGCGCTTTGAGCCGCGCCAAACCCTCCCAAATGGGGCTCCCCTGATCTCAAATTTGCAGGATTTGGGGTGTTTGGATTTTTGGGGGTCCCAGAGGTTCCAAACCCCCCCCTTTGAGGGGTTTGGAAGGGTCCAGGACTCACTCTTAGGGCGTTAAAACCCTTTTGGGGAGCTCCAGGAAAGCCTCGGGGTCTCAGGAGCGCTCAGACCATAAAGAACAAAATCTGAGAGATCCAAAACCCAAATTTTAGGAATCCGGGATATTCAAAACCCGATTTCTACCGCGATTTCCATGTTTCGACCACGTGCGCATGTGCAGCCCAGTGTGCGCATGCGCTTTGCGCACGTTGACGCCGAATTGCGTGCCAGTACTTTAATGCATGCCAGTACTTGTTGCGCATGCGCTTTGCGCACATTGACGCCAAACTGCGTGCCAGCACTTCCGTGCGTGCCAGCACTTCCTTGCGTGTTGGTTTCGCGCTTTTCCTGAGGGAAATAAAACCCTCGGGTTTTGTGCTTTTCCTCGGAAATAAAACCCTCAAAATTTCACGTTTTCCCTCAGAAATAAAACCCTCAAAAATTCGCGCTTTTCCTGAGGGAAATAAAACCCTCAAAAATTCGCGCTTTCCCTCGGAAATAAAACCCTCAATCCCATTTTTTAGGACCCCATTTTTTTGTGATCCCATTTTTAGGACCCATTTTTTTATGATTCCCATTTTTTAGGACCCCATTTTATTTATGATTCCCATTTTTTAGGACCCCATTTTTTATGATTCCCATTTTTTAGGACCCCATTTATTTTGTGATCCCGTTTTTTAGGACCCCATTTTTTTTGTGATCCCATTTTTAGGACCCATTTTTTTATGATTCCCATTTTTTAGGACCCTGGTTTTTTTTGTGATCCCATTTTTTATGATTCCCATTTTTTTTAGAATCCAGATTTTTTAGGTTCTATGTTGGTTTTGCTCGGCTCAGTTTTTGACAGTGGGGGGACCAAAGATGATTTTTGGGTGAATTTGGGGAATTTTGCTGATTGCTCTGAGGGTGATGGACATTGCACTGACCAGACCTCGGCCAGCTGGAGATGGTGGTTACACCCCTGTGAAAACAGATTAAAGAAAAATCAAAACAAAGGGAAGGACCCCAAAATACCTCAAAAATACCCCAAAATACCTCAAAATACCCCAAAATACCAAAACATCAGAGAGAAAAAAAAACCCACAGAAAACACCCAATAAACACCCAAAAAACACCCCAAAACACCTAAAATGGCCCGAAAAGGGGAGGGGAGGGCGGGTCAGAACCAAAAATACCCGAAAATACAGAAAATACCCCAAACCACCCCAAAAATACCAAAATATCAGAGAGAAAAGAAAAAAAACAACCAAAACCACCTGAAAACACCCAAAAAGACCCAAAACAAAGGGAAGGTTTTGATGGTGGAGAGGGTGAGGAGTGTGGGAGGGAATGGGGACAGCGAGGACAGAGCGGGAGGGGGAGGAGCTCCAGGGTGGGGCAGATGTGACCACGGTGACCACAGTGACCACGGTGACCACAGTGACCATTGTGACCATGGTGACCATGGTGACCATGGTGGGGCGGATGTGACCCTGGTGACCACAGTGACCACGGTGCAGGAGAATGTGACCACAGTGACCACAGTGACCATGGTGGAGCCAATGTGACAACAGTGACCACGGTGACCATGGTGGAGCAGAATGTCCTCATGGTGACCGTGGTGTGGCAGATGTGACCACGGTGACCACAGTGACCATGGAGGGGCAGATGTGACCACAGTGACCATGGTGACCATGGTGGGGCAAATGTGACCACGGTGACCATGGTGGAGCAAATGTGACCACAGTGACCATGGTGACTATGGTGGAGCAGAATGTCCCCAGAGTGACCACGGTGACCACGGTGACCATGGTGGAGCACAATGTCCTCATGGTGACCGTGGTGTGGCAGATGTGACCACGGTGACCACGGTGACCATGGTGGAGCAAATGTGACCACAGTGACCACGGTGACCACAGTGACCACTGTGACCACAGTGACCATGGTGGTGTCCACACAGTGACCATGGTGTGGCGGATGTGACCACGGTGACCACGGTGACCATGGTGACCATGGTGGAGCAGAATGTCCCCATGGTGACCACAGTGACCATGGTGGAGCAAATGTGACCACAGTGACCACAGTGACCATGGTGACCACGGTGTGGCAGATGTGACCATGGTGACCAAAGTGACCATGGAGGAGCCAATGTGACAACAGTGACCACAGTGACCATGGTGTGGCAGATGTGACCATGGTGACCACAGTGACCACAGTGACCATGGTGACCATGGAAGGGCAGATGTGACCACAGCGACCATGGTGACCATGGTGGAGCACAATGTGACAACAGTGACCATGGTGACCATGGTGGGGCAGATGTGACCACAGTGACCACAGTGACCATGGAAGGGCAGATGTGACCACGGTGACCACGGTGACCATGGTGACCATGGAGGGGCAGATGTGACCACAGTGACCACGGTGACCATGGTGGAGCACAATGTCCTCATGGTGACCGTGGTGGAGCAGATGTGACCACAGTGACCACAGTGACCATGGTGACCATGGAGGAGCCAATGTGACAACAGTGACCATGGTGGAGCAGAATGTCCCCACAGTGACCACGGTGACCATGGTGGAGCAAAATGTCCTCATGGTGACCGTGGTGTGGCAGATGTGACCATGGTGACCATGGTGGAGCAGATGTGACCATGGTGACCACGGTGACCATGGTGACCATGGAGGAGCCAATGTGACAACAGTGACCACGGTGACCATGGTGGGGCAGAATGTCCCCACAGTGACCATGGTGACCACGGTGAGGCACAATATCCTCATGGTGACCATGGTGACCATGGTGGGGCAGAATGTCCACACTGACCAACCCCACATCTGAACTGACCAACCCCACACTGACCAACCCCACACTCTGTTCCCCCATCCCGCGCAAAGGGGAATAAATCCCATGAGCCTTCACGCTGCAAAGGGGGAATAAATCCCACAATCCTCCGCGAGTTTGGGGGACATATCCCATGATCCTCCGCATAGCGCAGAGGGGAGTAAATCCCATGAGCCTTCACGCTTCAAAGGGGGAATAAATCCCACAATCCTTCGCGCGCTTCTGGGAGTATATCCCATGACCCTCAGCGCCTTAAAGAGGGATAAATCCCGAGATTTTCGGCGCTGTAAAATGAATAAAAATCCCGGGATTTCCCGCGCTGTGGACGCGGSTGAATCCCGAGAGTTTGGGCGGTTTAAAATCGGGACAAATCCCGCGATTTTCGGCGCCGTAAATCGCGATAAACCCCAAAGATTTTCCGGGCCTAAAGGGGGCGATATCCCATGATGCCCCGCGGCCCCGCCGTATCCATGGCAACAGCGCCGGCGTAAAAGGGGCGGGGCTTTGTGTGGGCGTGGTTTAAACGGGGGCGTGTCCCAAATGAAGAGCTGCGATTGGACGAGCGAGGCCACGCCCACCGCCGCGCTCCCCTGACGTCATCGGCACGCGCCGGCGGGGAGGGACCAGAGCGAGGCTGCCCCGGGGTGAGCGCGGATCCCAAAAATTCCAAAAAATTCCCCAAAATTCTCCAAAATCCCCCAAATTCACCCCAAAAATCCGCCCCGGGAAAGG